GTGCCAATTATCATGTTCACTGCCCTAGGCTAATGCATTGTGTTCTGTTATAATCTATGTTTAATTAGGTAATCAACTGATTCATTTTTACAAATTGTGATTTTTTGTGTTTTGGTATTATATGCTTAGGAAAATATTATTAAATATTAACGAATTATTGCCCTTATCAAATTTTAAAAAGAATTTTACAAATCACATATATATTAATCTAAAACTCAGATGTAGCCTATACATCAACCTACTGTTACTAACATCTCTGTGCAGCCATATATAGCCTTTCTGTATATGTATGTCCATGTGTAGCTTCCTGGACATTGTTACTAGTAGCCTACTGTGTATATTGTGTAAGTAGTCATTTAACGTCACCAAGAATCAGAGTCAAACTCCTTGCACACACAAGACACAGACACCACGACAGTTTATTTACCATGTAAGCAGTTACTTCTGAGGCACATGATATTATCCAAGTATTAGTTTCACCAGTAGGAGGCGCCAAAAAAAGAAAGACTACAAGGGCTCGCGAGATAAACAAATCTCACGACCTCGGTCTCTCTTTAATTCTCGCGCGATTACCTATTTCCTCCTCTTTCACTCCCTGTAGCCAACATGGCAGTCGGCAAGAATAAGAGGCTGACCAAAGGCGGCAAAAAAGGTGCCAAAAAGAAGATGTAAGTAGCAAATTCACACATGGTTATACGAAGCAAGCTTTGCGCTTTTCGCCAGTGTAACTTTGGTATATAAAATGTGAAGGATGGAGCCGATTTTAGATAGATGTTACAGGGCCGGTGCTAGTCTCGTCGCCGGCCTCTGTGGCGATGGATGTAACCGTACCATGCTTCGTCCATTCTAATCTGAGTTTAAGCACTTTGCCATAATTAGGCTGATTTAGTCAGACTTGTATATTTCCTCTGGAGGATTCTAGGTGTGCGTAAATAAAGTATGTAGGGTTGTGCGAGTTGTCCCCCACAGTTAGAGACTAACGTTATTTGCCAAAGGCTACCAAATGTTAGCATGAATTTAGCTAAGCTTACCCATCAATATGGCAGTCCAACTTCAGTTAGCCAATTGATAAATTATACTACGAACAACCTGATTGTCTGGATCGTATAGTGAAGTCATTTAGCAAATCGCTAGACATGGTGGTGTGGGCAATGATAAAGGCTAACCTTCCATGTTCTGCTAACCGAAGCAGTTTCTTTTGCAGCGAGCAAACCGGTTAAGCATGTCACTTCTGCCTGCCTGCCTTAGTCCTGCTCACAGGCCGCCTGTTCACCCCCATCCATGATATGAACGATGCTGTGCCGGTTGGTTCAGTTATGTCTGTGTAATTAATTTACTTTTCAATATTGTACAGTGTGGACCCTTTCTCCAAGAAGGACTGGTATGATGTCAAGGCACCAGCTATGTTCAACATCCGCAATCTTGGCAAGACCTTGGTCACCAGGACTCAGGGAACCAGTAAGTCTTCATTGTCCGAAAGATTTTTTTATATAGGTACATATGTTATTGCATACTACTGTGTTCTGTACATCAGGCTGTCATTGAGTACAGAAAAGCTCTATGGGATGGACAGGATGAATGAGACTACTTATAGTAAAATTAACAAGACTTTAAATTGTCCTGTCATTATAACAAAAGAATATTTTTAGAGTTGCTTGTGTGTCTGAATACCTGGTGGTGATGAGATGAGAATTCATGATAAAGTATTTCGGTCCCAAATGATGGTTGCTGATTACTTATGAGATCAACTGATTCTCCCATTTCTACGTTTCCACTGATTCCAGAGATTGTCATTACTTTCAGTCCTTCTAGTGCTTGTCTTTGTGCTTAACTTTTGTTTTCCAAACATCCAGGAATCGCCTCTGATGGTCTGAAGGGACGTGTGTTCGAGGTGAGCCTCGCTGACCTGCAGAACGATGAGGTTGCCTTCCGTAAGTTCAAGCTCATCACTGAAGACGTTCAGGGGAAGAACTGCCTCACCAATTTCCACGGCATGGATCTGACCCGTGACAAGATGTGCTCAATGGTCAAGAAGTGGCAGGTAATGATCATGGTTTTGGGAAAAGCACTGTTATCCTACTGAACATTTGACTGTGGTCAGTGTGTTCAACAAGTTAAGTTTCAGCAACGATGCTTAATTAATACATATTTGACAATGTTGGTTCTCAAAACTTAGATATCAAATACTGTTTACAGCTTGATTTATTTTCCACCATTACATTTTTATTGAAAAGTCGGGTTTTTAGGGAGTGTTTTGTCTACAAGCGGGATTATGATGGGTCAGCGGTTTGAATTTTTGGATTGTCTGGGAACATCTGATAGGAATTGCAGTTCTGTGTCTAAGTAAGGTGATCATGAAGTGCGTCAATTAGACACTTAGACTACACAATAGTGAAAATCCAATACCGAAGAGCTTCTGAATGTTACTCATGGGACATTGCTAGAGAAGAGCATGGATGGTTAATTTAGCTTGTGGGAAGAAAAGCCTAAAAACTACATTTGCGTGCCATTGAGTGGTCATTAATTTGTAGTGTGTAATGGAATTCAATAATTTTAGGGAATGGGTCAAACCACATTGTTTTGATTACTTCTGTCTAGTGTGTGGAATTGAAAGGGAACTGAGCTGTGATTTTTATCATGAGATAACTTTGAGTTCACCAAGGGCAATAAATCCTCAATACATGTGACCATTGTTTAACAGGTGATTGCAATGTACTCTGCATTCCCAGACCTAGTGTATCTTTATCCCTTAAGCATAGTTGACAGTGAAGTGAAATCTTCATGAAACATGAACAGTAAGATTCATGTGAGTTCATCAGAAGCAAAGTTACAGGGCTTCAGTTAGACTCCACATTGTGCATCTATGTTCAGTAGTGATGTAGGATGAGAACACAGAAGTTGCATGGAAAGTCTTGACTGACAGCTTTCTGAATAGACACAGTGCAGCCAAAAGACTTGTTTTGGTTTGAGTTTGGGGTTGAAATGTTTTTATAATCCTGACACACAGGCTATTTTATAATTGGGCTCCATGAATGTGGAAGAACAGTAAAGTTAGGTTGGTGTTTGAAGATTTTTTTGGGGTATTTGGGTAAAAAGGTCAGATGTACTTTTAATTACTGGAAGAATAGTTTACATAGTCATTGTGATTTTGGCCAGAAACTGTTATTCATCCTTTAGTAACTTAACACACTTTGAGCTTTCTTAACTGGCAGGCTTCTTAACTTGAAGTCTAATTGGTATGGATCTTTTCTTTGCTCTCAGACCATGATTGAAGCCCATGTGGACGTGAAGACCACCGACGGCTACCTTCTGCGTCTGTTCTGCGTGGGTTTCACAAAGAAGCGCACCAACCAGATCAGAAAGACCTCCTATGCCCAGCACCAGCAGGTCCGCCAGATCCGCAAGAAGATGATGGAGATCATGACCCGTGAGGTTCAGACCAACGACCTGAAGGAAGTTGTTAACAAGCTGTAAGTCATGTACAGTTAATCCTGCTCCTGAATGAAGTGTAAATGATTTTTTTTGCATGTTCAGGAAAAGCCTCTGCCAATGTTGATGTAATTGCAATAAAGCTACATCTGTTGGATTCTGAGTTGTAAATAGATGGCAAATGCCGATAATCTTGCTGATAATTCAAAAGATCCAAAGACGTGCAAAAAGTTTACTGTCAGGAGATGGTGATGTAAAAATGCCAGTTCATGGAGACTTGTCATCTCTGAAAAAGCTCAGTCATTCTGTTGTGTATTGTCATGTTGCAGGATCCCAGACAGCGTTGGTAAGGACATTGAGAAGGCCTGCCAGTCCATCTACCCCCTACACGACGTCTACGTCCGCAAGGTCAAGATGCTTAAGAAGCCCAAGTTTGAGTGTAAGTGATTGAACAGCACTAACACAGGGTACCCTGTGATTTTTGTTTTGTTTTTTTTTCCTACTTGTGGGAGCACATGATGACACTGTTTCGGTCCCATATGATCACATGATTACTATCTATTGAGATCAGCTGATGTTCCCTTTCATGACAAAATACTGTGTTTTAGTGAGAGAACATGTTTGGGACTGATCTTTTGACTTTGAGTGATCTTTTGACTTTGAGTGACCTGATGAGGTTGAATTGTGTGAGGGATGAAATATCACTGATTTTAATTTAAAACATCTAGCTTCCTAATTGCCAGTGACCTCTGAACTATTATTTATGAGCCTGAGTTAAGAGCTTCTTGTCTTCTATTACAGTGGGCAAACTGATGGAGCTCCATGGTGAGGGCGGTGCCGGCGGTGCTGCAAAGGCATCTGGTGACGACGCTGGAGCCAAGGTGGAGAGGGCTGACGGCTACGAGCCCCCCATCCAGGAGACAGTCTAAAAACCACCCTGACAGATTTAATAAAAAATGTAAATGACCAATGGACTGTACTGTTTTCTATTTTTGTGCGTAACAGTAATCGAACTAATACATTTTGAACATAGAGTACCAGTCAGAAGTTTGGACACACTTTCACCTGAATGGGAAAGTGTTGAAACTTTTGACTGGTACTGTATGTACAGGGGCTGGACAACAACCTGCACAAGCAATGAAACAATCAAGTAGTCCCAGAAACAAAGGCTTGGTCAGTTTGAGCACGTTATATCTGAGGCTGTAGTTTTCAAAGTTGTGCTTCATTACATTATGCAGTTGTTCATTAACTCAATACTAGTCCATGTGAGCACAGTCGATGCATAATCTACATGTAATGTTTATGGAACGGCTGTATTTGCATTAGAGCTTGGCACCCTATTAATATTTAGTCAAGTGAAACTGGTGTCTCAAGATGAATTGTAATTTCCTGCAAAAATGAAGTGGGTAATCTAATGTTACTGAAGACATGCAAAACTACAGAGCTCAGAAACCACATTTTGACTGAATAAATTGAGGGTAGTAAAATAAGAAGACAAACCACTAGATGGTGCAAATGGTGAAGAATACAAGTCATTGAAAATCAAAGTCCAGGGTATTTACATTGCCAGCCAGCTTTAATGTAATATTTATTCATAACATGATAAATTATTCAGTTAACACTTCTGAAGTTAATGCTGTAGATTATAAAATATGTTGCACTACTTGGAGATGAAAATACTGCATTCCAGATAAAGGCAGTTCACTTCAGATTTCCACTGCTGAAAGCATCTGTCCTCAGATGTAGTTTCTCCTCTGGTCTACCACAGTGTCCCGCTGAATGCCACTTGCCACTATCCCAGTACTTGAACATAGTTTTTAGGGACCAAGGCCCGCTTCCCTCTCAAATCACCCAGGAACCATTCTTCATCAATGGACTCCAGCTTGGTTATAATATCCCCAATCTGTGAAAGAGGAAGGAATCAGGGGCTGCGTAGATGGTGGTGTGTGAATTGTGAATCTCTGAATTAGTGAACTGCATTTGTGATCGCAAAAAAATGAATTGCTGTACCTGCAGAGAGAGCTCCTCATCACAGTCTGATGTGAAGTTATACAGAGCTCTGGCTCTCTCACCACCAGCTGCTTCGTTCTGCTGGCTGTTGTATGACTGCGGAGCTGCTGAGGAAGGTATGTACAGTACCAATCAGTCAATTAAGGAATAAAACCATCTCTTGTAGTTGAAACAATGAGTCGATTTACTGACCGAAAGTAAATATTCTGCAGCTGCTTTAACAACCGATAAATCGTTTCAGTCACTTTTCACGTACAAATGCTGAACTACACCTACTCCCATTCTCAGTTGTGAGTTTCTTTGTCTTATGAAACTATATAAATTGAATAACTTTCTTAACTGAGTTTTGCACTATTTTTAATTATCAAAATAATCAGCAGACTAATCAGTAATTAAAGTAATTGTTAGTTGCAGCCAGTGTCAATAATAGTGCTGTGAAATTCTACAAAACAAATCAAATTGTGCCAACTGCATGGCAGAGCTATGAGACACTCACTGCTCTAAATATTTGCCTTTATTACCACCCTACCACCCTGAGACCAGTGACAGCAACAGTGGAATTACCGAGATGGATTTGTATCTAAGCCCGGTTCTCTAAGACGGTAACTTCATAATACTAACAAAGTAAAATTGTGATATCTTCATACCTGTGTTGCTCTCAATAAATGCCCTGGGGAACATGCCTTCTTTGCCGTTGAGCCTGCCACAGCTCCATTCAGCGTTAATATGGCGGGTGATCAGGATACAGTCGCCCTGCTGAAAGGACAGGTCGTCTTCTGACTTCCCGGCATAGTCGTACAGAGCCACCGCCCAGTCCACTTTGGACTGAGACGCCTGCAAAGTGAACAGAACAAGAGAAGAGACCTTTATCTCTATTTTAATTTATTTTTGTTTTACAGAACACAAAACCAATATCTTTGCTGTCAATGGTACTGCTAATAAAGATATTGGTTACCTGAGTGGGTTTGGAAACCTCAGCACTGACATTTGGAGAAACCACCATGCCTGTGAGAAAACAGATGTCTAGATTATTAAAGATGAAAAGCATACAACCTCCAGTCAGGAACAAAATAAAAAAAAGAGTGAATCTATGGGCACTCTTTGCCGTACTTGTTATCTTTAATATTGCATGTAAATCCTGTGTAGTAGCAACCCATGAGGACACCGAAGCCAAGTCTTCTGTATTTTTGCAGGGATTTTAGCAACCTGAGGTAAAATTTATTTTCTGTAGTTAAAAAGTTACTCAGTATAGATTCCAGCATTTCTAGACTCAGTTTACATTTTTAAAAGTAGTCAAATTTAAATGTAGCCTACTAAGTTGAAGAAAAGATTCAGTATTTCTCCACCAGAATATAATTCCTGGTTGTATAGAGAAGCTATTCAGAATTTAATAGAACAATGTATTTACAGGTCCGCAGTCTCTCGAAATTTCCAGGAAGGAAATACGTAATCTGTTGCAAATTATCAGGAAAATAGAAACAATGTTGTAAGAAATTGATTTTAGTTAGAGCTTCGATAGTACTGTTGACTTTAAAAGCACTTGTTGATTTCTAGAGGAAACATATTAAACAGCTGACTGAATGAATGAAAGAAGGGGCGCACAGACATGGTTGCATGAGTGTTTCAAGTGCACAGTTGAGAAACCTTTTGTAAACAGTGATTTAATGAAACAGAAACAGAAGCACAAATTCCTGACGTGCCACAGGGGGAGATGCCAGCCAACACAAAGGAAAAGGGATGGAAAGAGGCTCCTCACTGAAGGACACAGACACTCTTTTGTTTTGATTGAGGATCGAGAGGATAACATGTAAATATTCCCATTTAAGACATTAACAAACTCAAAGTACAGTTCAGCTGACTTGCTCTTTGTGACCAGATCAGCACACAATGAACAGAATACAAGTGACTTAGTTTTTGGTGCTTTCAGGTAACCGTACCAGGCAGTGCGATTCTGCTGGGCTGTGTCTGCGTCTGCTGCTGACTCGGAGGCGGAGGCAGATCTTCAATCACCTCCACAAAGTTAAGAGGGAAGATTCCAGTTGAGACGCCATTCTGTCCCCGAGCCCATTCCTGTCCAATGTACTCCTTCAGCTGGATCACATCCCCTTCACAGAACGACAGCTCATCACTGTGCTCCCCCTCAAAGTCAAACCTCGCCACACATCGTGGACCGCTTCACAGGACACAGCAAAATTTGAAAACATCAGGTTAGTTCAGGCGGGTTTGTAAAGGCCTGTGCAAAGATTTTGTAATGTAAAAATTGTACCTGGCTGTTGCAGATGGCGGCTTCGGTTTCCTTCCAGGGAGGGTTTTTGGTGAATCTGACTAAAATGAATTTTCTCATTTCAAAAGGAATCCTTAACCATCATATACATGTGTAAATTATAGGCCTCAATGATTGAATTTTAATAGTTTAAATTTACCAGGACTTTGACATAATTCATGGGAAAGAACCCAGTAGATCCCCTGCAAGTGCCTCTGTACCACTCATTGTCCACCTGCTCCACCATGGTCACAACGTCTCCTGCTCTCAGACCCAGCTCTCCTGGACCCTCTGTGAAGAAAACACACATCAGCTGTCTATTGGTAATAAAAGTAATCCAAACTGACACAAATCCTCCAAATCGTTTGACTCAATTTCTGTTACACTTATTTGGATTGTTTTCAGGCAGCCAGTATCTATGTTTAAACGAACATGCTCTAAAGGAACAGTTCAACATTCAAGGAAATTCATGTTTTCACTTTGTTGAAGATTGACATTGATCCTATGACTGTGGGTTAAGTATGGATCTGGAGTGAAGAGGTGGTTAGCCTAGCCTAGCATGAAGTTGGGAAGCAGGGTGAAGAAGCTAGCCTGACTCTGAATCAATGTATGGGTTTTCCTCTGCTTCCAGACTGTATGCTACGCTAGCTCTGCACTTAGCATACAGACATGAAAGTGGCGTCAATCTTCTCATCTAATTCTCTGCAAGAAAGGTATTTCCCCAAATAATTATTTTAATGTACCATTTCATTTTATTCTTATTGCACAATCTAAGTCAGTACTAGCAGCATAAACGGATGTGTCACCTGGGATGAAGTCATGTATAACCTGCACTTTTTTCCCATAACCGTCTCTGCCTGTAGCACTTTGTCCGGCACCCTATAGAGAGAGAACAAAGACTTAAAGGTTGATGTATCAAAGCCACTGAGCACAAAGGAGCAAGTGAGGCTCAAGAATCAGAGCCACCTTTTTTTACTCATGAATGAAGGAGTTACCTGTGGTGGGTACATGTCTGAGGCAAGAGGAGTTATAACCTTCATGCGCGACTTGTGGACTCTGCCTCTGGTGTCTCCAACTTGGCACTCAAATGTATCACGGTCAATCTCTTCTAGCAGCAGAAGCACTTCATTTTTCTTTTGACAAAGCCAACAAAGGTGTTAGATTCCAGCTGTTCAAGAGAGTCTGTGGCACTGAGACTTGAACAATCTACCGTTATATGTGAAGTAATACACTTTTATGTGATGGCAACACGTAAGTCGTTAAAATGAGTTTAGTCACCTGAAATGACAGCTCTCCTGTGTTGCTCCCATTGTAATCAAAGGCTGCTATTCCATGGGGAAGTTCAAGCTGGCGGAAGAAAGCAAAAAATTTAAACATGCTCATTGTGCTGTATTTGAAATGTGAGTACAGCACACAGGTGTGCAGTGGGATCTCTCTTACAGTGTATTTGTTGTAGAGACGGTGGCCTGGGTTGGGCCTTGGAGGTAAGACAGGTCCTTTCCTGTGGGGCTTCTGTGCCTGGGGTCTGGGTGAAGTGTCCCATGGTGCTGAAACGGATCGACCTGTGGCCTTAAGGCTGGGTGGAGGGGGTCTTCCGGGGCCTGTTTTGGCTGGAGGTGGGCGAGGTGGGAGGATTTTGGTTGTACTGTGCCTCCTGAAGTGCGACAGCATCATCAAGTTCAAGTAAAGCAGCATCTTTACAAAATATACCAACATTTTAAACTTGTGAGGTTTGTCCCCCCACTCACTTACCGAGGTGGTAGCGATGGCTCTGGCCCAATCTGGAAAGACTCCTGCAGAAGATTTTTATTAGCACTAAAACAGACTGTCAACAGTCAACAGTACTGGAAACCATGGTAACCATGCAACAACACAAAGCCTTCGGCCACAGCTGAAGGCAGTGTGTTCATGGGGCTACAATAGTTTGTTTGTTTGTGGAAAGCAGAGGAAATGAAGCAGGTAAGATCCTCAGCTGGCAGACACTGATTGAGAGAGACTTTCTGAGCTAAAAATGAACCATGTCATAGTTTATAAGTAGAAATATACTAATAAGACAAAACTTTTTAATTAGACACAAAAAAAAAATTTGGCATAAATGCTGAAATACACAAGAAACAAGAAAAAAAATCTCCCTCCTGATGTGTTATCAGGTCTGCAAAGAATAACCTTAATGTTGTGGAGAGCTTTAACTCTTCTGGGATGTTCAGAGGTTGTGTTTAAGTTGGGGGGTTTGTAACCACACTGCGTGACAGGTCTTACCTGGGAGGGGAGGATGGGTGTCGAGTTTTGTTTGTGGTAGACTGAGGTGTTTAGGGAGCCTACAGGCTTCTGGACAGGGAGAGGTGGAGGACTGTCCTGAAAATGATCTGAGACTGAGAGGAGATCTGTCTTCATTATAACATACTGACAACATGTGCTCCATTATTAGACCAGCACAGTATGTGTAATATCAATAACTCCTCATCACCAAAATCAACAATTTGACTCTATCTCAACAGAAATTGGAGAATCATGTTTGCTGGACTCACGTGAACCACTTTTGCTGGGGACCCTGATGGTGGTTGGTCTCCTTGCTGCACTTTGTCTAGAGAACGAGCCTCCGTTGCTGTCCACATTACGCTGGGGCTTGACTGGGATATGATCTGAACAAAGAGACACCTGATTTCATGACTGTGCAAAAAAAAAAAAAAACTGTAAAGATTTAACCATAATTGTGACTTGTGGAAAAGTTTGGACACCCTAATTTTTCAGATATATTATTTGTAGCCACCTAAGATTCTTTCTGCTCTTTGATTTAGGAATTGTCACCCACTCGTCCTTGCAGATGACTTCAAGTTCTGAGATAAATTTAGTCTGATCCGCTCGCAAGTTTTTTTTACCATTGGTCAGAGAGACTTCGGGCTCAGATAATGGCCATTGTCTTCTTTTTTAAATTTATTTATTTATTACAATTTATAGACACAACAGACTGACTTTTGTCCATAAATTTTGTTTCTCCTGCTCCATGAGCTTTTTTGTCAGTTGTATACTCTGGTTGATACACAGCCCTTTGTTTTGAGTGGTGCTCTAAAAAGAAAGGTTCACTTTTATAATAAAAACAGGGGATTAATCAATAAACTAATCTATAATGAAAATATTCATCAGGTGTGTTCCTACAAAGCAGTAGGCTACATTTTGTCTTACACCACAGACTTACCGGATAGACTGTTCACACACTCATTCTCACTGATGATGGAGGCCGAGTTGTGGTTGTTTATGTTTAGGTTGGGTTTAAGAGGCTCCTTGAACGGCTTCACTGGAGGTACAGGAGGAAGAGGTGAGGGCTCTTCTTCATAGATGCTGTTGGCTCTGGTCAGTACAGAGGGACGTGATCTGTTGGGAATGGCTGCCTTGCTGTGTAAAGTCTCGAGCTCCTCTTTTATAGACAGCGCCGCCATTTTTTTAGGGGGCTGAGGTCTCGGGGCCGGTGTATGGTTTTGGGTTACATTTATGGATGAGACATTTTGATAGTAATCATCTGCACTGTGGTCAAACTGAGGTTTAAGAGACACAGAAGGTTTAGCAGCGACTGGAGGTTTGATGGCTGCCTTTCTTGGTCGAGGTTCTGGTTTGGCTGATTCAGCCACACTTCCTTCCTCTGTGCCGGCCTGGCTCTCGAAGGCCTGGATCCTGGCCCGAATATTACGTTGACTGTTGTTGTTGTTCATCTCGCCAACAGCATCTTCACCTTGAGAGGCCTCGTCTGATTGGTTAACGATGTCACCGTTCTCCTCACACTGGTTTTCTGCACTAAAGACCTCTAATAATTCCTTTAAATACTTATTTGAGGATGCCTCCTCCGCATCAGAGTGAACACTGTCACAATTTTCACTGAGCTCGACCAAAGACTTATCATTGACCTTCTCTGGAGTTGCTTGCTTTCGGGATTTTGTGCGAGGAAGTGGAACGGGGCGTTGACTGGGTTCTGAGTTTGAAGAAGAGGGAGTCGCTTCAGCAGGAGCAGAGACAGGGTTTACAGGAATATCCCAGTATACTGTAACAGATCTGGTGCATGTATGAGTGGGATCTTCTTGGTTATGTTGCTTTACATCAGATTTAGAGCCACTTTGGTCCTCAGTGTTTGTGGATGCTGTAGTATCTGTTCCCACCTTCCCATCAGAAGGTGTGACAGTTTCAGTGAGTGGTTCTATGTCCACTGGTTTGGGCAGTGATGGCCTCGGTGGTTTTTGTGGTGTTTTACCTGGAAACAAATATAAAGAAACGTCACATGTAGAGCTGAAACAGACTGGAGCTTGACAGTCAGTCACTCTTGTATGCCTCACCAGCAGGTCTTTTCTCAGCTGATTGTGGGACAGTGGTGGCGGTATTGTCCCTCACAGGGTCAGTCTGTGTGGCACATGTGGTAGTGCAGGTGGGCCGGCGGGGGGCTGCAGTGGGCTTGACAATGTGCTCTTCCTGGGTCTTCTCTTGAATCACCTGGTCATAGGATGGTGGGGGCTGAGTCATGAAAAGGAGAGATGTTCACACACACACACATATACACACACACACATGCATTCACACACACAAAGACACACACACACACACACACACACACACACACACACACACACACACACACACACACACACACACACACACACACACACACACACACACACACACACACACAAAAGGTCATGTACTCAGTAAGAATTTGGGAGTTAAATTCAACTTTATTTTGGCCAAGAAATTATATTTATTCCTCTCTCCTCGTAGCGAGAGACTTTGAAACAGTAATATAAAATAATAACATAAAAAAGAGGAGGGGGCCACAATGGGGGGGGGGGCTTTGACTCCTGACCTTTTCAATTCTCGTAATGTAGTATTGGCCATGTTTAAAAACGTATGACTCGTAGTATTTTTTGTGCTTACTATTGAGGAAGAAATATTCTTGGACAACACAGAGCCGAACAGACATGTGAATTCAAACAGTGTCAGTCAGATGAAGTCTACCTGGGAGACGGCCTGGATGCCTGCAGACCAGCCTGACTGAGGAGGAGGAGGAGTGAAAACCACAGAGGCTCCCGGGAACCAGTTGTTACTGGCCAGAGGTTCTGCTGAGACGATGGTGATCTCTGGTCGCCTGAAAGACAAACCATTGAGACACCATATGGACCTGAGAGACAACCAAAATACATCTGCACATCCACCTTAAGCATGTTCTTTTTTTCTCTCTTGGTTTTTTTCTTCTTGGCAAAGAACTTTACTCTTGCTATGGACATTTGTTAAGCAACAAACAAAAACTTTGTCTATTTCAGATAGCATCAATGAGAATAATACAGTGAAGAAGTAAACATGAACAGACTTTATTTACATTACCTTCTGTCTCTGGTATGTTCGCACTGAGAGTTTGCTCTTGCTAAAGAAAGGGAGAAAAAGTCATATAAACTTCGCCAAAAACATCACACATTATAAGACATTACCTCACTGCTTTTCTACATGTCTGATTGGAAACCTGTAGATTTCACTTGAAGCTATCACGCATTCATCTGATTTATGGAAGACAGGGTTCCTTTAAACAAACCGTAGATCAAAATCACAAAAATGTGCCGTTAACATTTTCTCAAATATACTTTGATACAGTCAGTTATACTTCAAATAACTCTCCCATATAAAGCGTGATTCTGATTTTGTTCGACAAGAAGCTAATTTAAGGAATAAACCCTTTATTGTGCTTTTTGTGTCACTGCTGTTTAGTTGTTGCAAACTTACTTCGTTTGATAGCAGCTCGTATAGACGACAGAGGGCCTTGGCTGAAAAACAGAGCAGAACAGGAAACCCATTTATCACTGAGGTGTTGGACGCAGTCAAGAGTGGGTTCATACCTTTGTGGTGACTCATTTGTTAAAATAAAATCTCTTTACTTGCCCCTGGCCAGTATCATAAAATACACTCTCTTAATACAGCTGCTTTATACTGTTAATGCCAATTTATGACAAAGACACAAGATTTAAAATAACGTCTAACTTCAAACAAAATAGACAAATTGAGGAAATTTTGATCGATGAGATAATAGAAAAGGTTCAGAGCTGTATAGAGATGGGTAAAGAGTAGAAGAAAAAAAGAAGAAAAAACTGATAAACAACAAAACAAGGTGAAATGATCAAAGAAAAATTACTCTAATAATTGAGATTTTTTAAATGTCTGTGGTATATAGTGCATTTTAGTGTACAGTATAATTGCTAAAGGTGCAGACTGCTGAGATGTAAACATAGTAGAAGTGACAGAAGAAGTGAAGAAAAGCATTAGTAAGAAGAATAGTAGAAAAAACTTGAAATGAATCATTTAAACATTTTAAGAGTGTAAAGAAATGATTATTATACATACATCCTCAGTCAGATTGTTATGGTTTGGAACAGTAAGAGGGCTTTAGTCAGGAAAATATTTGTTCACTTCAATATTACAATTCAACAAAAGCAAAAGTATGTAGATGTATGTGGATTAAAGCAAACTGAACTATTGCCACAGGTTTACTGTATATTACAAAACATACATCCAGCAAAAGATGACTATGTTACATAAGAGAAGAATAACATCTCTGAGAATCCTGCTCATGATCAAATCCACCTACCTTATAGGAACAGGGAGTCAGTAAATGCTACCACATCCAGGTAAACACGGAACATACGACCATCATGAAAACAACAGCTAACTTACATAACATCATCTCCCGATGGTAACCAACAAATCTCTTCTTCGTTTTCCTCCTTAAGGTATAGATCTATTATTTTCTAATCCTTTAATATCACCACTTCATACCAGCACTATTATCATATTAAGCTTCCATTTCTTTTTCCTTTTTCTTGGAAAAGAGCAGAGATTAAACTAATGTGATGCTCTCTAATCTGTGCCAGCAGTCTCTTCACCAAAGCTATAAACACAGGAGGGAGGCTCCTCATTAACACACATCCTGCTCATTAAGGACTGACTGCGGGAGGCTGATATAAACTATCTAGGGGAAAGACTGACAATCCTCTCCCTCCTCTTGGTTCCACATAGTTTATTTAACTGATTGGCGAAGTTGTAAACACACAGATATTCAGGCCAGAAACATCCTGTGTGATCTATCATAAACCGTGTTTTTCAATGGTTTGCCTAACCTCTCTTCTTAATGTCTGTAAACAACTAAAAAGAAAAAAGCAGCATGGTATTCATCCTCATGTTGACCTTCTCTCTGTCAGTCACTGAGGATAGATCACTTCATTGTTTGGTCCGCATTCACAACCTCATCATCAGCAGATCTGTCTGTTAAAGGGATAGTGCCCTGTTTCCAGCTACAGGTAGAGTTGTGGTGAAACTAAACAACTGCTACTGGATCTACCACTTAAAAAGGTACAAATATATATAAAATCTCAGCTCAAGAATGAATAACATACCTGGAGGGTAAATGCTCCGGCTTGGTTCTTTCAGGGTGATCTGTAGAGGAAAACAGAGAAGCACAAGTTTCATAAGATAAAAGAAAAAGATAGCAAATCCCCTATCACAGTATATGTAATGTTTTAGTGTGATATTGACATATATCGTGAAGATGCAAGTTTGATAGAAAATATAACTGAGAATCTATTTAGGGAAAAGACTGACCAGATAGGAACGTCTGTTTTTGCTTTTGTCTTTGTCTGACAAATCACAAAACCTTGTTACATTGATACAAATCAAACTAAAGTCAAATATTACCATGAAACTGTCCTGCTCATTGATTTGAACCATCTCCCACTATGACATTTCATATTGTCTTACAGCAGATATTATATTGTCCATTCCTCGTGTGTTAGGTGCATTTTGCTTATGAATTCAACTTTTTATTTGAGAGGAAAGATGTCTCAGTTCACCTTTCAAAGAAGTCTCACTTTGAGCTGTAGCCATTGTTTTACACTCAATACTAAATTGCTACTACTAATGCTGCTAAACAGCACTGCATGAGCAAGAAATACAAGAACCTAACCCTAACCAGCAGAACCAGTTAATGTAAATGAACCAACATATTCATAGACTTTAAATGTGTTTAAATTTCAAATCTAAATTTACAAAGAAACAATGATTAAATAACCGTGGCTCATGTCATTTTCATATTTCAGAGAACTGTATAAATGACAGGGAAATGCTGTGCTGCCCTTCATTTTTCATTTTCATCTATTTTCATTCAGCATCTCCTAATTCATAAACAGTAGATAGACAGATTGATTGATCTTTCCTATGGCTGGATGATATGCAGACAACAACAACAACAGAGTATGAACACAAAACAGATATAAAAATCTCCAAAAGCAGCAGTAAAGCAGTATGGTCAACAGATACTGAGTTGTGTCAATGTGATTCTGTAACAATAATGTCCTTCAGATTTGGAGTAGGACCATTGTCAGAGATATATATTGTGATTCTTAAAAAGGCAAATCAGTATTATCTGCTCCTTTAGACACAGTTCATGCTTCAATCAAACAACAAGTGGTAAAAGAGGAAAATGTGCCTTAGTTAGCAGGTAGGCTGTAAGGAGCAGTATCAGTAATGCAGACAATCTAATCGCATAAGAAATCATTTTCATATTGGAGAGTAAAGTCATTAGAAGAATACTGAAGAAAAAACTATTAGAGGCAACAGTGGAAGTCAGCATTGTTGTTAATGCCACTAGCCTGAAACCATGACCTCATTAGCAGACAGATCCACCTGTCACACCTGTTACCTATTATCTGTTGTGCCTCAGGTTACAGGTTACATTTTAACAACATGCGGGAAAGGCGCTTCGGGACTTTCACTTCATGAGAAAGACGTCTTTTAGCAACTGCAGGACAAAGTTTTAAGCTACTATAGCTTAAATAAAGTATGATCACTTCCTTGTAGATATGTAGTCCGCTAGTGTGGAAGAAGTGATGTTCTCTAATCCTGAACACAACTCGTCTGTCTCTTTACCATACAATAATGCTCCTACCTGTTGATGAGTTAAATATAAAATCTAGCAGGATATTTCCACAGAGATCCTCCCTCCTGCTCCACCAAGTGAGTGTGTGTGTGTTTCAAAGATCTTGACGCTCGCAGTCACACACCCACAGACAACAGCAGAGAGGGAGGGCCCTATAATATCTCAGCACTCCTGTGTTTACTTGGCCAATCTGTTGAAGTGGAATGTGGTCATTCAGGAAGTGGTGGTTCTGCCACACGACACTGTACCGTCACTGTCTTTATTTCCTAAAAGGTCACAAGAATATTCCCATTGCTCTGTGCCATTTGTAACTGGCATGAGTCTAAAAGAGTCTAAAAACCTTTATAATATAAAAATTAATCTCAACAGTTCTGTTGTACGTTTACTACAAGTCAGGAAGTCACAGCCTATGTGTTTGCTTAAAATATTAACTGGTACTATCAATAAACTAATCAACCTTTTTGCATATATGACCTTTCATCCTGGTTAGCACAAATATGGCTCATTAAAAATCAAAGGAATAATGAATCAGGGGAGATTATTGCACACAAAGTATAAGAAAACTAAAGAAAGAAAATCAATTCAAAGAAACTAAAAAATATTAGGAGATAATTTCTATTTTTAGCGCATAGGAGCTAGAGGGAGAAGTGTACTGGTTTGTAGATTTAAGAACCTTAGATATGATCATGCAGGAAAACCAGAGGTGACAGGTTATGTCAGATTCATTTAGCTGAATGTAGGTCAGCATAGGGCAGTTTCAGATGAAAAGAAAGTAGGTGATTCATCTCTGGAATTAACTTAATCTGGTGTCAACGTTTATCTACTATATGAATCAAACATTACACGACACTTAAAACAGACAAAGCTGAAACTCTTAGTTGGTTGTGACATTCATTAAAACCATTCAGAGACCAACACATCCAATTAAAAATGATCAAATGCCACAGTGTCAAAGAGCTATCCATGACATTTAGCTTCCACTTAAACACTGCTAAGAGTTTCTAGCCACGCTGAGCTAAATGCTAATGTCAGCATGCGGACATGCTCACAATGACAATGATTTACCTGATCACCATCTTAGTTTAGCATATTAGCATGCTAACATTTGCTAATCATGACTAAAGGAAAAAGTGTAGCTGAGGTGGATGATGATGTCATTAGTTTTTCAGATGCTGGACAAATTGAAATTTTGCCCTGATGGTGGCGCTCAATGAGGATTCATCACCTGGAGACCATGAACATCTGTACCAAATTTGTTGAGATATTTCAGTATTTCAGTCCGGATCAATTGACCAATCAACCAACACTGTCTTACTTAAAAAGACAGATTATTTGACAGTACGTTTAAAGAACCAGTACCTCTGCAAATGGTAATAGACTCGCCAGTTAAGTAGTTTTGGAAGAATTGTTGACTTTTATCATATTATTTAACATTTAAAGGCTCATTAAATCTTCAAATATTCAACTGAGAACAATAGGTTTGAGAAAATAACCCTGCCATACTACTTGACAAGCCCCCTCATACTGCTCTGAATTATATTCCAAATCAGTGGATATCTCTTGGTATTTGTAGGCCAGTGACACCTCAAACTACACTGCAAATACACGAGAGAGCTGCTGAAGTCAGCAGGACTGGTTTCCCTTCACAGCTGCGCTCTAACTTGAACACATGCTGACATTACTCAGCACAGCAGCAGCAGTCACAGAGCAGCTGGTGAAATGGCTGGCAACAAAGGGAAAGGAAGAAAAACAATCTGCCTCTCTGTGTGTCATACTACACCAGCCAAAACTTCACACGAGTAAAGAGGCTGATCCCAGACACAGTCAGATAGTCTGATAAAGGGTTTGACTTAAGTCTTTTTCCAACTTTGGCATTTTCTAACAGGCACAGATGCATTTGCTGACTAAGTTATAGGCCTATACATTTGCGTGCTGTATTTAGGAGGAGGACAAAGTTTGACACTATAGAACCAAGTCAAAATGTCAACTGGAAAGCATCCCTTGTGTTAAAATCCAGAAAGGTATTTATTGTTAACAGAGGACTAGTCAAAAGAGATTTGCCCTCACTTGAAAAACAAGACCAGGCGAGGCTGACAGATTGTGGTGTCATGTCGGCAGCACAATGTCAGCAGCTGATGTGGACCTTTAGTCAGAGAAGATTAGATGGTGTCAGTGCAGACGAGTGATTCATAGTGGAAACTACCTGAAATGGGTCCAATGCAAATCACCTATGATGGAGTGCATGTATGATATTATAACAATATTGTTTTTTGAAAGGATGGGAAAAAAACTGCATCCAGTTCAGACAACAGCTTGTTCATGACACAGCAGCCTGTCGACACAGAGAGGCTGACAGGAATTCCCATCCAGACAGCAGGTGGGGTCGGGGTGTGGGGTGTGGGGTGTGGGGTGTGGGGTGAGGGGTGAGGGGTGTGGGGTGTGGGGGAGGGGGGCTGGGGTAGTTTGAGCTGGCACACTGGTGGTAGATAGCTGGTTAGGGCTCAGGGCAGTTTGAGAAAGAAGAAAAACAAGGAACAAAGAAAACTGAGTTACACTCACGATGATTCTTCTCGTGAAACATAATGGAGTGAAACTCTGTCTAAGATGTAAGAGCGCCTTAGTGTTTGTATGTGAGGCAAGTGGCTGAAAACAAAAGCCAATGCTTCTTCATTAAATCACACGGTTAGTACTGACATTAGGAATCTGTACACAAGCCTAAACTGAAAGGAACAAGAGAGTTCGACAAATGACACATGTTGCTCTGAGGTGTGTGGGCCTGAGTTTCATCAGTGGTGTGTCACCATGAGAAACAGAGACGCCACTGGTTAATGATACTTTCACTTTAGGGAGCACTGAGGGTTTTTCAGTTGTATCATTTAAAAAAAAAAAAAAGTATATGTGATGATTTCCATTAGCATCACAACACTGTAAATTGGTCAAATCATTGTGTATCAATGACAGAAAGTGTGTAGTGCATAATTCTCACTGTGTGAATATCCCTCAGTGTGAATGAAAACATAAATGAATAAATAAAAGAGAACAAAACCAAAAACACTTATGATAATAATTCTGGATGCAAGACCCAAAGTTTACCTAAAACTCATTGTAATGTGCAGTTTGCCCAAAACAAGTTGATCAGTGTATTCATCAGAGTGAAAAGTTCAGTGTAATGTTTTAGAAGTCTAGATCTGTCCAGACATTTACATAGATCCTTTCTGTCTGGTTGATAAGATGCTGTAGGCATATGTCAGGTTTCTACATCTTGTAATAGTACAAATATCATTGTGTTGTCAAAGATCTGTCCCTGGTGTTTTAGTTCCCTATGATGCAAATCATGTAGACATTTTTGTTGATGGTTTTCAAACGCATGCAGTTACTGTAGTTAATGTTTTGATGTATTTTCCCTGCTGTTCCAGACCTCCATTGGTTTCCTGTCACTTCTACATGGTGTGAAAATGAAAAAGCAGACACTAAAGGGGTGCAGACACAGACCCACATTAATCTGCACATAATCACATCATCTCATACAACAAAAAATAATAGGATCATACAAATTTGATGTTCACTGTTACAATTAAACTAAGTCTCAAGACTCTGCTAATCGTCTTTTAAATGAATGGAAACGTTGGTTGTCTGAGACTGAACGGGAACACATCCAGTTTTCTAAAACATGACAGCACAGTTTGATCAATGGGTAAAATGGACATGAACTCTAGCAAATGTTACTCAGTGTCAAACAAAAAGATAAGTCTAGCAAATCACAATTCACTGCAATGCTGCATTTGAACAACAGACAATCAGCTGAGCGCGTTGTAAAAACCGTTAGGTGATCGTCAGCCTGTCACATTCCCAAACACACCGTACCTGTTGCCTGGCCTCTGCTCCGCAGCTCCCGCAGATCTCTGCGCTCCCCCTCGTCCTCATCCTCACGCCGGGCCTCGGCCATCGGGATTTAAAACAAAGTGGAAATTAAAAATAAATAAATAAATAAACCTTTTGAGAGCAGCTGGTTGCTCTTCCATCCGTCCGCTCGGTCGATTACATCGGTTACTGTCCTGGGCAGCCGAAGTTTGAGTCTGTCCTGCCCACTGCTCTCTCTCTCTCTCTCTCTCTCTCTCTCTCTCTCTCTCTCTCTCTCTCTGCCCTGGACTGGGTGGAGGTGGTGCCACTCACCGCCACACCACACCACAGACTCCAGCTGCTACCAGGAGGAACCCATCGATTATATGACCACATCACCCCCAAAGTAAAAACGTTTTCAAAGTTTCCAAACATCAGAAAGTTTTCATTCTTTATTGTAGAAAAAAGAAAAGATCATTTTTTTGGTGTTTTTTCTGTGACAGGACACTTCTCCAGAAACATGTCCAACCATGAAAAGTTTTTTTTTCTGCTTCAGCACTGATGCATACAAGTGATTAAAAAGATGAACTCTGGTGTCCAGGAGGAACAATCCCTATCTAACACCATCGTTAAATGCTATAGAAAAGCTGCAATTCAACCAGGTTTCCACTAGATGTCGCTACAGACCTGTTTATTTTCAAAGCATGGGTTGACCCAATAAACCCAGATTTAAAGTAAAAGATGAAAAATTGCATGATAGGACTTCAGTAACAATCACAGAATAAACGTGGTTTTTTGTGTGTTTTTTTTCTTGTAACTTAAACTAAATCGTCTCCTTCAATCAAGTATAAATGCTGCTTCTGTATTTTCTTCTTGAAGTATAATTTCATGCTGGAAACCACAATGATCATGATCCCATTGGAGACGTGGAGCCTACAGTATAAAGAGCTTCACACAGAACAAGAAAATGTAAGAAAAGGATCGAATTGGAGGAAAATATACATCTTACATCCTAATTATACTAGTTTTAAAACATAATTTCATGTCAAAGTCTTAGAGGAAAGTCTCTGCTGGATCAGCTGGATTGGATTGCCATTTTTATTTATTTTTTCATACAAATGGGGAATATCCTTTAATTTTTTTTTAAAGATAAAGTGGCATACACAGCTTTTGTGTCACTTTTTTGTCCAACAGATGGCGTCATATAGATCTTTGTCATATATCATATATAGGCTATCTCCTGATAGTCTGGAGCAGATAACCTTACATAATGAGATGAAATCAGTGGGATCAGGCTGATTTTTCATGCAGAATAACTTTTGGAAAAAATCTTTAGGAAACAGAACCAGACATATCAAATAACTCATGTTTGAGGACGTAAAGTAAAATGCAACAAACACCTACACAAATGTGTAACCTATCATAAATTAATATAATACTATCAACTTCAAAGTGTCCCTACGATGAATTCTGCTTTTTCTAGGACACCAGACACCACTTACAGTCTGTCATAGATGAAACACATGAAAACACTCCTTCCCTGGATGTGGCCTGTTGCAGCTCAGGGGGAGGAGCTTTCAAGTGAGGATTAGTGTAGTTTCACCTTTGTATGTGATCGCTACGGGCCAGGTGAAGTAGCGTGTTTAACATTATGTAACACCTCAGTCTGCTGTTTCCGAAGAGGGGCATTTTGCTGGAGCTGTGACCTGGTGTTGTTTTGTTTTGTTTTTTTCATTTCTGAGAGGACAAACCGAGTGTGTGTTTAAAAAAAAAAAAAACCTGCTGCTGCTGATCGACGCCGCTCAAACTGCTGTGCGCTCTCTCCGTCCAACCGGAGGATCCGTCCGGGCGCGACGGTAAGAAAGAAAGAAAGAACTCGAAACACAACCTTTGGCTTTGTGTCCAACTGTATCTTTAACTCAGCTGTTAAACTACAACATGACAGCGACGTTTGTGGTGTTTCGTTGGACCATATGTGTGCGTGTGTTTTGTTATTTTCTCTGACAGTTGCGGACTCTGTGATTGACAAGTGCGGGTGGGTGGATGGGTGGGTGGGGGAGTTGGGTATCTCCCATCTGCTGCCCGGGGACAAACACTGGTCTCTGCTGGGTTTTTACTGGGGGATTCCCAGTAACACGACGGGCTAGTTTTGCATCCTTGTGAAGTGAAAGAACCGTAAACTAAACTGCGTAATGACTTTTCTGCAGTGTGTACACTTTGTGTTTTACTGTTGTGTTCTCACCATAGAGACAGCGTGGACCCACCCCGTCTCCAATCATACCTCACGATTTAGCAACCGCAGCCAATAAACCGGCCTCTGCTTAATAACATGTTCTAAAGTGCATCTGGTTTCATAATCTTGCAGTAACATGCAGCGCCCACAGCGTCACAAATACCGTATCCACGTGTTGGCAGAGTTATATCTCACAGCCACACGGGAGGACCCTGAGGTGCAGCTCACCTGTCCTGATTCACCTCTCAGGCCTCTGTCCTCACAAGCTTTGAACTCACATATCCATTGTTTGGGGGGGGGGGCAGAACAACGTAGGTGGTGGTGTCGAGTTACCAGCAAACACCATCAATGTTTCATGGCTGCTCATCCTGTGTGAGTGTCATTCCTGTACAGGTGTTCTCGTCCACCTGCTAAATCAATGTCTCTGAACAGTCACCTGATGTAAACTAAGCTTTTAGAGGCTGGTTGCTTTGAGAAAAGAGATGAATGACTGTAACAGTGTTTTTGTTCAGCTTCTCTCTGGAGAGAAAAAGCCAGAAGAGTTACCTCATCCTCCCTCTGATTTATTACTCGGCTGCCTGGGAGGTTATTTTCTCCACCCTGTTTGTTTGTGAGCTTGTGAGTCTGTTTTTGGAAGTTAGCTGGATATTTCAAAAGTTTTTTAACAGATGCTGCTGATTTTTTTTAGAGCTGCAACTAACAATTATTTTTTATTATTGACTTAGCGGTTAATTATTTTCTCAATGAAGCAGTTAATCATTATATCATAGTCTATAAATAGTGAAAAGTGCTGATCATAATTGTTTCTTTGTCTGATGAATGATCTTCATGTGAGACACAGAAAAGCACCAAATCCTCACATCTGAGAAGATCGATCAATTATCAAAATAGCTTCATTTAATGACAATAAAGTAATCAATTAATGAAATAATAATTTCAACTCTTAAAGTTTGGTTGCTTAGACTTTTTAATTCTCATGTTTAAATATTGAAACACTTAAAAAAACAGTTTAAGTAACAGTTTCCTCTTGAACTGTTGACCTTACAGGAATGCACTTGATTGAAACGAACCTAGCACAAGTGTCCCATGATTCCTCGGTGTGTGTTGATGCTCGGGATCAGGGTTATGATCAAAACTTTTATTTATTATTAGAAAATCCTGCGACGAGCCTATGAAGCCCATCATTATCCAGATCTTGCTTCCTTCACGGTCAGATGGAGTTTGCTCAGTTGTTATGGAGATGAGCCAGTTGTTATCATGTGGCCTGTATCATGTTTTGGTCATGGTCACTTTCACACTCCCCTACCACGCAGCCATGTGTTATCACGTGACTGATAGGCCTATGCCATACTTGGGCCACGTGATGACAAGATTAACTATCTCCCTCTCCCTCTTCGTCAAACTGTTTGTTCTTTAATATGAAAACAAGCGTCTCCTCCTCCACAAACTCAACAAACAAACATGTCATGATCAGATGTGGCTGCTGCAGTTGCTGAGCTAGTTTTAAAAATTCCCTTCATGTGGATCCTGTTTAAAGCTCATTAGCACACAACCGGTGGCTCTCTCCTGCAGGCTGTTCACAGCTGGGCTGCTCTGAGGGGATGGCATGTCACTCTATCAAAGCTCCTCTGCAGTATTTTCACTATACACCACGATAAAGGATGTAAATGTGTGAGGTTTTGTTGTTTGTTGTTTTAAACAAAGCTACACTTATTCTCAACTTATTCAAGACTGTTTTATAGAGAAATCTCAGGCAATGCCGTCTAAATTTATGCAGTGTGATCTCTGTCGTATGTAATTGGTTATATGCCGCGTGGGCTCGTAATGCCTCATAATCTGTTCCCCTCCCTACATTTGCAAAGATGTAAATCCCAGCTGTATCTGCAGCTTCTCATATCGGCACCTTAAACATAAGTCGGCTGAAGATAAATGCTGACATGCAGCAAGAACGGGCAAAACTTTCTGATACTTTGTGAACCGTTTCTGAGGAATGAGAGGAATGCGTGGCTTATCAGTCATCTCTGTGAATGCTAGTGATGTTAAGAAGAGACTCGCAGTCCGTTTGGCGAACAGACCTGTAACAGAGATATTCGCACACAGCATCTCTAGACTGTGAATAATGGTCATACTAATGGGATTAGATGTTTAGGTCGTTTAGGTCACAAGTTGGGATGAGATCAGCTTCACTTTGCTTGTTGCTGCCTATGTTGAGCAGACTGTCACTGAACACTGTTTTTCAGAAAATGTGGAGACTTTAAATCTTGAGTAACATGCAGATGTACGTTATTGTAAATAGTAAAAGCATTAGGAGCAGTTCCTGTCTAAGTCAGTCTGAAGAACAGAAAGAGGCATTGTGGTCACTATACCAGCAGGTGTTTGTGCATGTTAACATGTTTTTTTCCCCCCATTCCCACCATGACCAAGCAAGATCAGCTTTGTCCCGTGTTTGGGATTAGCCCCACCCTCGCCACCCGTGCCCTGGCGCTGACTCTGAGAAGTTACAGGCAATATGAAAGCTATGTGGCAACAGTCACTGGCAGCGTTTCTTAAAGGCTCAGCACAAAGTAAAGTATCACCTTTTAATTTAACCACTATTTTGGATTATAAGAGTAGCTCAACATGTAGGGGAAAAACAAAACCCTTTAGCTTTTGTTGAGAGTGTCATTAAGCTTCTCATTTTACTCTACTTTCCCAAAATGTTGAAGTATTCCTATAATGACTTTTTATGGGGGTTTATTGTTGTTAGCGTCTTTAGCATAATTTGTTAGCTTGGCTGTATTCCAACCTGAAGAACTGCCCTTGAAGTGTTGAGAGAAGAAAAGAGATTGTAACTAAATCTGGTTAAACCACTTCTGAAGCAGCTGGAATGAAAGTGTGAATGTTATGTTTATGGAGCCTGCGGTTTGTCCTCTGTTGTAGGAAAGCTGACATGAAGTAAGAAGAAAAATATAGTGCAGGTGTAGAGGCCAGTGTTTAATGCAACCAACCAACGGTGTGTATATGAGTTTGCATCTCTGTTGCCTTTTTAAAAATGATGAGGAGAAAAAAAAAAACTCAACATAAAGGAGAAGTGTGAGATCTCTTGAAGGCTAAGATAAACATGGTCCTTTCCTCAACTGAACTCGTTTTAAATGCAAAGAAAAGTTGGTCTTAAGAGGGTGAAAACGGAACAGAGGAAAAAAACAACAGTCATCCACACCCAAGCAAATATTTGACACAGATGAGCCCAAGAGGCATTTTAGTTTTCCCTTTTAAAAAGCAAACTCTAGTTAGCTACGTACTTTTCATCCAGCTGGCTAATTACACAAGTGCGGTGCTGCAGCTCGCTCTCGTCTCTCTGATAAACATCACTGAACTTCACAGACATGCTTTATCTTCTATCCTCCCCCTCCCAATCCACATGCAAACATAACTTTTTTTTTCTCTTTTTTTTATCAGCAAGTGAGACGTGATGCAAACGAGCTTAAGAGGAAGTGGCAGGAGCAGAGATAGGATATACTAAACACATTCTTATCACTGACAGAAGCCTATTGTGGTGTGCGGGCATAGGCTGAAGTCTCCTCATACCAACATGAAAGTGGGAGTGATGTCACCAGCCCACATTGTGTACATACAATGAGGTAATTTAACCTGTGAGGGTCAGAGGAAAACAGGAGAGCAAAACGTGTAGTAAGCTGTGGTTTAAAGTTTCAGGGTGGAGGGTCGCGGCTGCTGCTGAGGATGTTTCAGGAAATTTAGAAGGGTTGTAAAGATTTTTATTTTGATTATTTTTAGGCTGATTCTAATATTTTTAGTGGTGTTGCTCTAGGTTCTTTTCTTGTAGCACTTTGATGAGGTTGACAATCTTTGGGTTTTTGTTAAATATCTAGTATCTAACCAGTATGAGATGTATAATAGTCAGACTGTCCATTGGGACTACTGGGACAAATCTTGGTGGGCCGGTGGACTGTGGACTGTGAAATCTTTTTTTTTTTTATGGTTTAATTTTTTGGGTTAATCCCAGACTGTCCTTCCCTTGGGGGTGAAGAATAATCAATACACATACCGTATACACCTATACTGTACATGCAATGAGTCACACATACGCAGGTGAAGAATGACATCACACTTTACCAGTGTTAGTAGCAGAAAGCAGGATAGTGTCTCATCTGTCCCTGCCTGCAGTATAAAGTTCTACCAATCCTTATCTCTCCACTGTAGACTGGACTCTCCTCTAAGAGAGCTGCATGTGACGACGGCTGCACGACTTTGATCTTGACAATGGGGCATAAGGGCTCTTGTGTCCTCTGTTTGGCCTTTATCTACTTTAAATAGAACTCTGTGTATAGAAAGGTATATTTTTCCTCTCGGGGTCGATGGTACTGCTGTGCGTCTCTCTGCTGAGCTTTTCTTTGACTTTCTCCTCCTCTTCCGCCCTCCCGGCTAAACAAAGCACCTGTTTGTGTTTGGACATGTTAATGAATCTCATCATGTGATCACTGAACAATATGGCAGGAACGGCCTATTTCTGAAACCAGTTTCCATCTGAATACACTCGCCAACACCCTGTTAGCCTTCATGTGCACCATGGAGCAACGCTATCAGCTTACATAATCGCAGTATTATCTCATAAGCTAGTTACAG